GAACTTCTAAATGAAGTAAATAATCCTAAATAAAAAACTAAATAATCAGACAACTTTAAATGAGAATAGTATGACCTATTTTAACCAATTTTTTATAGAAGCGTTTAAGTGAAGTAGTAAAATCCTAAGTTAAATCAGACAAGTTTCAACAAAAGCAGTAAAACCTACTGTTTGAGAAACTTCTAAGTGAAGTAATAATTCCTAAAACTAAATTATCAGGTAACTCCTAAGCGGAGCTATAAGCTTCATTCCAAAACTAAATTAACAGGCAACTTTCAAATGGAGTCGTAAGCCCCATTCCATAACCAAATTAACGAACAACTCCTAAACGAAGCCGTAAGCCCCATTCCAAAACCAAATTAATGTGAAACTGCTAAACAAAGTCGTAAGCCCAATTCTAAAACTAGATTTATGGCAACTCTTAAATGGAGCCGTAAGCCCCATTCCAAAACCAAATTAATGGGTAACTTCTAAATGGATCCATAAGCCCCATTCCAAAATTAAATTAATGGGCAACTCCTAAACGGAGATATTAGCCCCATTCCAAAACCAAATTATTGGGCAATTCCTAAATGAAGTCGTAAGCCCCATTCCAAAACTAAATTATCGGGCAACTCCTAAGCGGAGCCTTAAGCCTCATCCTAAATCTAAATCCCTAGGAAACTCCTAAAAGAAGTTTCAGTAGCTTATGGAGTTGATGATCTGGTATGTTTAGCCAATTGGCAAGTTTCACATTTGAACAAATTTGAATTTTTTTAATAAATAAATGAGGAAAAAGCTTTTCAAGATACATAAAATTTTGATGACCTAACCTAAAATGCCACATGATAATCTCTCTATCTTGACCCACTCTCGAATGACTCTCAACAAACTGACTTACAATAGGATGATTCTTAGGAGGAGGATTCTTAGGAGCAGCAATTAAGGTTTGTATCGATTTGGGTGTCTTGACGTAATATAACCCATAACACATCTCAGCCTTCCAATCTTCTTCTCCGAATTTAGTTCTTGAAAAATGCATGCATTGTTGGAGAAAATTATTATGCAATTACTATTACGAGTCAATTTACTAACGGAAATCAGATTGCACTTAAGATTGGGCACATAAAGATTGAAGGCACGATAGTAGGCTGGTAGTAGGTTCTGGAGACTGTTGGTTCGTGATGTTGTTAAGCAACAACTTCAACATCTCTAAATGCTCATTGTTGAAAGGAATTGCTTTAGCTTTGATGGATTGATCTTGTGCGGTGTTGACAGAGTTCGCCTTGCTTTCTTGTGCTGATTGTTTTTCCTTCCAATAAGCTAGTTTTCCATGAATCTTCCAATATGTCTCCTTTGTATCTAGGAAGAGGAGAAGAGTTGTCTGCAGATCCAGAGTTTTAGGTGTTTAAACTTGTAATATTTGGGTAGGTCGAGTTTCCTTGATTGAAAGAGAAAATGAATTTTGGGCAAGGGATAACGATGCTTGAAGAGAGGTTATCGGTAGGATGAAGTGTTACCACCGATTGAGGGTTTGGAAGAAAGGGAGGAAGGTTTGCTGCTGACACTTAGAGAAGGCTTAGGATTTTATTAGGCTTTGATACCATGAAGAAATTGTTTAAAGAGAAATTCAAATTATATTATATTCATTGAAATCATTACATGTATATACATTCTAGGAGAATAAACAGAAAAATGAATGACATTTAATCTAATTAATCATAATAATCAAGTCCTATGGATCTCCAACAGTAACACTCGGATTACTTCCCACATATCTCCAACTGTGGCATTCGGATTACTGCCCATGGATCTCCATCTGAAGCCCTCGGATTGCTGCACACGGATCTACAACTACAGCCCTCAGATTGCTGCCCACGGATTGCTGATGTGGCCTCCCCTTCGCTGCCTGATTCAACATATAGCTCAGTTTCTTGGAGGTTTAAACCCAACCATTGCCAACGTTGTTCAGTTACAACCATATTGGACAATCAACACTGTCATCAACCTTGCTCTTAAGGTAGAAAAAAGCAATGAATTGGTAAAAATGATATATGCAGGCGAACAGGGATAGGGGCACCTCCAACACCAATTCCTATGACTGACTGATAGCCTTAAACCACAAGAACACCTGTTGTCTGAGGTAATAGACCTTTTACACCAGCCTCGATAACCTTCCTCCTCACTCATAAGTGTTTTAAATGCCATGATTTTTGACATATTGTGTCCATTTGTTCTTCAAGGCAGTTGGTAACCTTAGTAGAAGAAGCACAGGGTGAAAACCCCATTTCCTTTGATTAAAAAACTGAAGAACTTGTGGAAGCTCAACTCCTATTGGTAGATGAGGGCGAATTAATAGTGTCACCGCCTTTTAAGTGTACAAAATGAGAAAGAGAATGAATGACTCTCTCACAATATATTCACAACAAAGTGCACTATCTATGGAAAGTTATGCAATATGGTGATAGATGGCGGAAATTACGAAAATGTGGTTCCACTCTAATGGGAGAAAAATTAAACCTTTCTACTATGTCACACCAAAGAACATACAACTTTCGTGGTCCAAGAATTGAAAACAAAATCAGTGTCAATAAACAATGCTTGGTACAATTCTCAATTGGGGGAAATCCTTAAGCACCAGTTTTTAATGATGTTGTTCCCATGGATGCATGCCACCTTCTTGAAAGACCTTGGGTATATGATCATCAAACTAAGCATGACCTTAGGATCGACAATACCTACTCTTTCCACAGGAAAGGTCAATTGGGGGTGCTGCTGTCTTCTAAAAAGCTTTCCAAACCTATGAACTGTAGCCTTGAAGTGGTGCTGCAGTCCCTTTTCATGTAAACCTACAAAATGGCTGACCACAAGTTGGCTTTGGTTGTAATTGAATTCAATCCCAAGCAATCCCAATCCATGAAAACTATCTAAGGTTCGGTCATTTCTTATCGACAAGCCAAGAACCGCCAATAAGGGGTTGAACCTTATATACCCTTACTTGAACCTGTGGGACCTTGGACTGATATCAATATGGATTTTGTTGTGGGGCTTCTAACAATGCAATGCCACAAAGACTCCATCATGGTCATTGTTGATTGGTTTTCGAAGATGACCCGTTTTGTACCATGTTAAAAAACACTAGACGCTACAAATATAGCCAGTCTCTATTTTCAAGAAGTTGTCCGCTTACATGGTATCCCAAGAACAATCACATTTGATGGAGATGTCAAGTTCCCTAGCCCCTTTTTGAGGACCCTATGGGGAACACATGACAACAAATTACATTTTAGTTTTATTGCTCATCCGCAAACATATGGGCTAAGAAAAGCCATCAATCAAAGCTTGGGAAACCTTCTAAGGTGTTTTATCGGCAAAAATATTCTTCAATGGGACTCGATCATATCACAAGTAGAATTTGCTTATAATCAATCCCGCAACTCAACTACGGATCTCAACCTTTTTGAGGTGGTTTATGAAAAAATCCTTCCTCATAGTTTTGATCCCACCCATCACTCGTAAAGAATGTCACCTAGAAGTTGAACTCTACATTTAAGAAATTCGAAAGATTCATGAACAAATACAAGATCAAATCAAAAGACAGAATGCAAAATGTCAAGCACAAGCATACAAATCAAGGGAACATCGAGCTTTCAAATTAGGTTACTTGGTACGGGTCAAATTCGAACGGAACGATTTCCTTTATGAGCTCGTGGAAAACTCAAAGCCATGGGCGATGAGCCATTTAGGATTGCCAAACATCTCAACGACGATGCCTACAATTGGAGTACTAGGTGACTATCAAATATCTGCCACTTTGAACATAGCTGATTTAACTCTTCATTACAAAGATTCTTCATTTTCGAATTATGCCAAAGCCCCTCCTAAACAGGGATAATGATGCCGGGCGGACCTAACCGGCCTAGTTCAGCAAACCGAACCCTCCTCCCCCCTTGTTCTATGTTTTATTTCTTTTTTAAGTTAATTTTTGTTCCTTTATTAATTCCCTTTGAAGGGACCCTTGAGGGTTGCCTTGCTCTATAATTAAAGAGCTACCTCCACACTTGTATTCAGTTTTTGGATATTGAATAAGGTTATATATTTTTTTTCTCAAGTTCCTTTCCTGTATCCTGGACAAGCCAGGTGGTGGCTATTCTCTTCTCCAACCTGAGATTGGTTGGATCTTTCTTTCCTCAGATATTCTCCATCAAAGCCATAGGTTGTGCCATCCATTCCCTACCGGAAAGCACACAACTGCTCTCCTTCCTTCCCTATTCTCCTCGTCCTAAGGTTCTAGCATCATTCCCTGAAATAGAAACAGGTCAGCGGATTGGTGCAAAAATATTAACTATGCACTACATATCTTCCATGAATTCATATCATTTGATGCCCATCAGCTAGTAGCCCACTCGAGGCTTATATGTAAATCCGCAGAACTAGTGCACAACTGAATTACAGACAAGAAACTACAGAACTAAACTGACCCAAGGCAACAAACCAGGCATACGCGAACACAAATCTTTCTCTAAGAATCTGCATCATTGGCATGCTTACAGCAAGATAATAAACAATGAAATAAAAACAACCGAAGTAAACCAGAGTAAAAACATTTCATGAATCATTAAATTGCTTGTCTTAGTGCACATGGTTTATGTTTTCGACAAGTATAAACTTTTAGATTTTTGATATATACATTTAATACCCTAAACATAATCAAAATTAATATGGACACGAATTCATTTACTTCTTGCCACATCACTTAGCATAATTTATTGGCATATGCATTTACATTTCTTAGCTCTTCTTTATATCAATAATTTTTTTTGTCCAAATGTAAGATTTGAAAATGAAAATTCTTGGAATCTCAGAGATAAAAGATGAAAGATATACCCCATCAGTACACATATAGGTTTTCAAATATTCACATGTCTTATTTCTGTACCACCTGAATTCTTTTTATCTGCAACACTATTGTTGGTATATTTAATTATCCATTTATGTTTTTATGCAATGTATCCCTTCAGGTTGGATTTTCTCACTCAAACATCCTGCGTACTATCATACATCGTGCTTGCTTGAGGTTTCCTTCTCTTAGAACACACGGTAAAGCATGGAGCATGTTGTATCAAAGGTTAAAATCAGCAAAGCATATGGATGATGTCCCAAAGAGGAAGGTTTTTGTAATTTTTGGAGGTGAGACTTCCGAACGTCAAGTATCTCTCATGAGCGGAACAAATGTCTGGCTAAACTTGCAAGCTTTTGATGATGTAAGCTTCTCAGACTAGTGCTATTTGTAGATCGCATTCATTAATATATTTTAGACCATGAAAAAATAATTCATAACAATTACTTAGCTTTCTTTCCTGTGGTGCACTTATATGGTTAGCTGGTCTATTTTCTTCTTATTAAATAACTAGATTTATTCCATTGTTTCATATTGTGCTGAGACAAATGTATATAAGTTTCACTTAAAGTTACCTGATACTGAATTCACCTTTATTCATATAAGCAAACTTCGGTATCTTTCAAATGCTCAACTACTAACTGTAATTTCATGTGTCACATTGCAAGTCTGCTAATAAATGTCGCTTGCAGTATTACCATGCTTTTAATGGCTGATTCTATTTATTCTTCCAGCTTGATGTGCTGCCATGTATGCTTGCACCTGCTGATGGATATGCATCTGCCAATCATGGGGACATATATCAAGTTAGCTCTTCTAATGTTGTTTGGACTTTACCGTAAGTACTACCATTTTTTTATATTCATATGTTCTAGAATAGAAACCGACATTTCCTATTTTTGTCCTGTGATGTCATGTGCTTTGAATTCTATACTGAAAAGTGAAATAAGTAGAATGATTGTTCTTATTTTGTAAGGAATCTATTTTTAACGATAAAGTAACGAAGATTTACCTTCTAGAATGACTACAAGGATGAATCTTGAATATACCTTCATGTTTCTAAACTCAAGATAATTAACATTTGTATTGAGACCTCATGCTAATAATAATAATGTAAAATTTGACATCTGTCTTATAAAATGCCAAGTAAATTTAAAAATATTGTAGAATGTCCCTAAAGTCATCATTGTTTTAACTAAAAACAACTTTAGAGGAAATTTAATTCATAATGGCATCTCCTAGTGATGAAGATGGCTGTGAAATGTTTTGTTGTTTGTTGGTTTGAGGTTTAACCATGGAAAGATGGTACACATGCTAATACAAAGAGAGGAATAAAAGGTACACAACCATAAGGGGGAGAGAGAGATAGGGAACACAACAACGTGGAAATGTGTACTTGGTCTACCATGGGGGAGATGAGCTTTTGTATGAACTTTTCAATTTGACTTCAATTTGTTTATTTCATACCTAAGGGGCCTATATATAAAACAGAAAGGGCTCACAACATTCTTATATTTTGCAAACAACCGTTAATTGAAATTAAAATATAATAGAAACTCCAGTTTAACTCAAAAATAAAATATAGGTAAATATTAAATTGTTGACCTGCACATACAACTCATAAGTTAATAGAGTCAACTATAATGACAAAGAAGACATGCATTATTTGATAACTTACTGACTCAAACCACTTGATCATCATCCATTTTGCTAAATGGACCACCTCGATGATTTTGGAATATTGAAACAATCGAGAAAGGCCCCTTCATATTACTCTAGTTTCCGCACGAGGGGAGGACAAAAGTTTCCTTACATAAGAGAGAAAATTTACTCCATTCGCTCACACAAATATTCTCAAAAAAGTTAGAGAAGAATAAAATAATATTGAATGGTGTTCACTCAAAGAAAATGATGAACCACCCTGCCTTCTAAGTTAGGGTTTCATTCTTCATTAGGTAGATTAATTTTTAATTATTCAGATTTCCATATATTTACATTAGGGTTTATATATATTTGGGGTCACAACTTGCTATGAGCACAAGCCCTCATAGTTAATTAGGATTCCCACTCATGGGAGAGCACTTTCAATTAAGGATGAGTTACTCTGATATGATTTTAAATTCAAGCTTAGTATTATAGGATTTGTCTGGATTAAGGAGAGATGTTGGTGGGGGATGGGAGGTGAACCCATTCAAGATTCCATGGTTCCATCATCTCAAAAATATCAGCGATCTCAACCTACCAACATTAACAACCTATAAGGCGTAACATCCAGGGAATCTGATTAGCATTCATGGGTTGCCTTTTCTCAAAGTTCTCGCTGAGGTGACTATATATAAATTTTAATTTCTTATGATTCTTTGGTATTTACTTAATTTGGTGGGCTTATAGCATGGAAGCGGGCCTGAATGCAATTTGAGTTTGAGCTTATATCGATTGGAAAGCCCGAATTTGTTTGAGTTGGGGCTTATTACTCTATTTTCAAGTTACCCAATAGTTTTGATTGAAGTGGGACTTATCCATTAGAATGTCTATTTCGGATGACCGGCCTTACAAAGTTACTTTACACTTTTATTATGGATAGTTTAAATTTATTTAGAGATCTTAGATAGTTGTAATTTTTTAACCTAGGTTTACGTAGATCGTGCAAGCATTTCTTGCCCTAAAACTTAGGTAGTCTTATAATTTTACATTTTATTTTAAGTGACTCATTTGAGAATATGTCACTAGGGACTTTTGATTGACTAGAGGCTAATGAGCTTAGATTTGGGTCTTTGACCGTTGACGGATCGATCAATATTTCATATGTTTGCCTCTTATTTAGTTGATAAGTAATATCATTGTTTCAATGATTTTTTTCCCACATTTGAATTCAATATTAGTCACCCCCTTGGGAAAGCAAGTGTAGGTATAAATGATAGTTGTATTGCCAACTAGGATTTTGTGAATATATACATTATATTCGATTAGAGATATATGAATTTTAATAGGTGATGAGGATGTAAGTATTTTGATGTTATAAGCTACATGATATTCATGTGATAGACGAGTGATTTGATATTATTTGTAAATGCAACTTCTACTTGTGCCTGGTATAAGTTTAATGGTGTAATATTTCAATAACATATATATAGCTTTTTAATCTGACATAAAGAAGGATATTTTTATGATTAAAATCTTTTTAATTTTGCAGTTTGAGGGTCTCTTGTCGATCAAATTTTTGACAACCTCCTGGTATCTCCCCCATACAGGGAGCATTGTTGGGTAGGTCCAATCCTTTTTTTGTCTTTCCCGGCTCTATCAAAGTTCAAGGGAACGCGCGAGAAGAGGATGACGCCACTTGTTTGCAAGTAGTGTGTGTGTGTGTGTGTGTGTATATATATATATATATATATATATATATATATATAACTTTGAAATTTTACATAAAGAAGTATATTTTTATGTTCAAAATCTATTTAATTTTGTAGTTTGAGGGTCTCTTGTCGATCAAAATTTTGGCAGTCACCCGACGCCTCCTTATTCAAGAGGTATTATCGTGTAGGCCAAAACCTTTTTTGTCTTTCTCGGTCCGTTTAAAGTTCTCGCGAATGCGGGGTCTTCATATGATTATTGCTCATATGATTATTGCTCTTCCCGGTTGGATCAAAGATATAATGGATGTGTGCTTCATATTTTTATTCTTTCTGGCTAGATCTAAAACCAAGGGAACATGGGATCTTTAATACTTGTTATTCAAGCGAGAAAGTGTCGACCACTGGACCCTACCTCATGTGGTTCGCTCTCAAACGACACAACGGCTCGCTCACGTAACTCCCCTCTCGCTATAAAACTCTCAGACGAATTGGTCTCCCTCTCATTCGGCTCATGCACCAAATCTCATGACAAGAACTTGTTAAAGTGATGAGCATCAAACCATCTAGCATATGTATTTTTTAGAATAAAGGCTCCAACACGCCATTAATGGATCCTTCAACTACACAGGGTTGATTGTTCCTTCAAAGCTACGCAGGTTTTCAGACATGTACACCCTCACAATAGCTAGTGCAAATAAAAAATCCATTTTTGCAAACAAACCAGTGCCACTTATCAAGAGTATCACAAAATGGTTTACAAAGGTTAGGATCCTTGTGGAGGGTCTATTTTGGAAGGATGTAGAGAGACTGGTAGATGATTATAGTGGGGGAGGAAGAATAAGGCAAATACGGATTTTACTGCCTATAATATGATATAATTGTGCCATTGCCAAAGAAATTTCTCCTACTAGGATTAGGGCTCAAAATGCAAAATTTCTTGCAAAATATGAGAAGAAAATCTAGGAGTTGATAGCCTTATGTATGATGATCTGATGAGTGTCTTGAAGCATGGATTTCACAGAAAGGAACAAATGACCTGATGGAACTACCAACTCTTCATTTGGATGTCTATCATACCCATAAATAAAGTTGTTATTCAGAACCCTTCAAATGAGGAAAATAAAGTAGATCTTAGTAATATGTACAAACCTGAAAAGCCTTTAGACAGTGCTTTGATTGGCTATAAAGAAGGTTTATGATTCCTCATGTGCTCCGGTATTTATGTCATGCCCTAAATGCTAGATCTTAGAATGCTTTGCGGAGTTGCTAAAAGTGTTCAAACACTGCTAAAATAGCACCAATCAGCATGCTAAGATATTCCACATGTGCTTTGATTTTTTTTTTTCAAACTTCTGCGAGATTTGAGAATGCTTTGCGAAATTGTTAAAAGTATTAAATTCCGCTGATGATGTTTGTTTTGACGAAAAATCTCAACTGTGGGGAATTCCATTTTCAAAGAACTCATGAACTCCATAAGGCAAAATCCAATTCAACTTGAGGCATGCCAAAAAGCCATGTGTGCTCTCTGAAAGGATGTGCGCTTTGAAAGCACACCAATATGATAGCACACTAATATGATAGAACATAATTTTACATGTAACAACTCAAACTCTTGACTATCGAGGTATTATCGTCTTTGGCCTAATGGTCTTTATGGTTTTGTCCCGTTGATATAACTTTTCAGGAGGTCACCCATCCCAAGATTGCTCTCGTACGAGCATGCTTAACCACGGAGTTTTTTAATTAAATTTAACAATCATTACACCAAAAGGCTCATCGATGTTTAAGAGATTAGCTTCTTTTTAAGTAAGGGTTTTCACAATCTTCCTCACTTAAGTAATTGACATTCTCGGCTGTATGCTTATGCAAGAATAATTCATAAGGCAGATTAGATTCTAGAGGTGGCCCCCATGACTCTACACTTTGTATTGTATGGAATTTAGTTCTCATTTTTCGGCTGGTGTATTTTGCTGATACCATTTTGTAATAGCTCAAACTTTTAACTATCAAGGTATTATCCACTTTGGCCTAATGACATCACAATTTTGTCCTATTGGTGTAACTTACTAGGAGTATACCCCTCTTATGATTTGTCTTCTACAAGTACGCTAAATCCTGAAGTCTTAATGGAATACCAACTATTATACCAAAAGAAGTTTCGATATTTATGAGTTTAGTTTCTTTCTACTTAAGGGGGTTCACATTATATGCATTTCAATAAGTATGTCGATGCCAAATTGAAATCATTGTTTTAAATTGCACAATATGAGGCTCGCCTTAGTGCAATTTTAGTGAAAAATACTTCGAAGCTTATTCCTTAAATTTTTTTTATTAGGCGTGCACCTCAGTTTGGTTGAGGCACGCCTCGCCTTGTTGGCGTGTGGCGTATGACTCACCTTATTTATGTAGATTTTTTATTAAAACTTACCTAGATTCTAAACTATAGTTCTGAATAAATCACGTCTTCATGCACCCTTAAGCTGCAACAACTTCCTCTTGTTTGCCTCAACCTCCAGCTCGCTGCCTTCGCCGCAACTATCACCTTCGCTGGGATCACTTGGAAGCTGCACACCACGATTATTTTCTCTAAAAATGTTGAAGTATTACTATCATCTTTATATTAATGACAAGTATTTATGAGAAAAAGAAGATGGCTGAAATAGTAAAGAAGCAACAAATTGGCAAATATGGACTTCACAGGTTAGGTGTAATATCAGTTTTTGCTCCAGGTTCGTCCGGACGAAGTCGGATCGTCCGGGACGATCGGTACAGGTTGTGCAGAGAAAAGTATTTGATGATACATAGTAGCTCTGTGTTTGTTAGTCTGTGTGAATTAATTATTTGGAAGATTCAGTTCCGAACCAAATTCCAAAGCTAGATCCTGGTTAGTGCAGCTCCGTCGCGATCCAGCGCGGGCGGGATCCGTCTCGTCTCGGGTCGGGTCGTGACATTAGGCTTGTGAGAGACCAATTTATTATGACGATGACTCAAATAATGACCCCCTAAATGATGACAGTTTAGATTTTTAAGTTGTTACCAACTATTTCAGCTTTCTTTAAGAATTAAATATGGATGAGTAAGTAATTGAGAAAAAAATGAAGGAATTTGGCATGTTATATGATATTTTTATGTAATTCCTATATTTTATGTTGTTTTGTTCTTATAATTTTTGGATTTTAATTATATTTTACGTAATTTATCACTTGTCATTTTACATCTTGTGCAATTTTTTGTTTCATATGTATACCAATTTTTTACTTCATAGTTCAGTAGAAAATTAATGTCATTTTTTAAAATTTTATTGAAGAATTATATAAAAATCACTTTTAACATTTATTTTCACTTTAAGCAATTTTTTTTAATTTTCAGGCTTACGCTTCACATCATGAACGAAAAACGCTTCAATATCTAATTGCGAAAATTTAAACCTTGATTGAAGTTTGTGCAGCTTGAAAGTGCGACATATGTTTTTCGATGGATACTATACTCACATTATATGACTTTGAAAAGCATGTAAAGTTCTCTAGCTTTAACATCTCTACTACACTACATGCATTAATGCTTGAGGGAGTGGATAATGAGGAATCCTCATGAGGTTTTGAGATTTTTTTTTGAACAAATAAGAGAAAGTTAAGAAATATACAATAGAATATTAAAAAAAAAAAGAGAAAATTTCACATTATACTTTAATGATGTTGGAATATTCTATTAGTATTTCAAAAATTTTAAATATATATTTTAGATTTTTTCTCACGTTTTTTTAGCACTATCTAACCATCTCATAACAATATCCATCCCAACATGACTTGTATAGGTCAAATTCATCCTAAATTAAGTAGTCTTTCTCTGATTTTGTAAATGATGCATGGTATTACATCCTGTATAAATTAGGCTAGTTTAACTCAAACAGATCCAGTCATGCCTAGATCAACCTTGTTCACCACCTGAGTTGGAAGGTAGGTTTTCTCATGCTCGTGCTGAGCATGGCTTAGGGTCGATACACGTCCACTTCCACAAATCCTCCTCCATTACCTCCCTGTTGTACTTTGTGCCATGAAGGAACGATCAACTGCATTGATACTAAAATTTCTGATATGATTTTAGCCAGTTAACTTGCCTATGATTTTGATCCTTTTCATGTTTGTTATTTGAGTATTGGATAGAGTCAATATAGATTAGATACAACTATTTAAGTAATTCTATTGCTTTATAAAATAATTTTTATACTAGAAAAATTCTTGCACATATTAAGTCCAAAAATAAAGAGCCTAAATGACAACGAAGATAAATTATGTGATGTTATAATTAATAATGATTATGACCTAAATAATACTGCACCAATTAGATTATTTTATAACGAATAAGAAATAGATTGACCATTAAAATAGTATTTGATTTTAAAATATATTCTTATATAGTATATTTTTTGTTATGCATAACTGACAAAAGTTGAAGATATTTGGTTGGATATTTCGTTCCAATATTTTTGTAAAATTTATAATTATTGAAATGCTTCAACTGTAAAATATATAAAATCAGCGAGTATAATTTATTATAAAAATAATTATAACGGTCCCACGGATTAATGAGTAAGCATGAGGAATCTCATAAATCCATGAGGTGGTAGTGGAGAGAAAGAAGACATAAGATTGGTGCTTAGTGTGTCCCAACTAGAGGAAATCTAGCATGCAGCCATGCATGCATTTGCTTATTGTCTAGCAAGGCAAAATTTTATTGGCTTGGCTTGAGGTGAAAGTTAAAGATACTGGATGGTTTAGATGCTTGGGTCCAGGATGAGTTTCACACTCAAGCAATTGAATGAATGCCATCTATTTCAAGCTTGCTTGATAATTTTTATAAGGCTGTCCCTGAGATGCCTTAGGTGAAAATACTTTCAAGTTATTCACTTGTTATAAATGGAATATATATCATATTGCTATAAACTTTTGCTTTCTAAAATGCCCATCAATTTCAATAACTTTTATTTGATTATATTATACGGCATTATGTGTAGTAATGATGATTGCCTTGTTATTATAATACAACCTCATAGAAGCTTTCTATTCAACCTTTAAATTTTTCGGTATATAATGTTTAGCCATAATAATTCACAGATTTTCAATGCTATATAGATCTAAATTCAGCTTCTGTGTTGGATCTTGCTATTGCTTTTCATTTTTTTGTTTCTCTTAGTCAAGAGGTTACTTCTTAAGAATTTGCATTATCTTGAAGTTGATCGCCTGTTAATCATAGAACATGTATTGTCAGCACCTATGGAAGCTTCAAGAGTATGATCCCTCCCCCATCTGAGTAAAAATCATTAACCTGAACTTCCCTGCAGCTATTGTAAAATCTAATGTACTGATATAAGTTGTGATTTTTTAGGATTGTGCATGAATTGACTCACTCCAACTATAAGGGCAATTTCAAGTCTAGTATGGAGAATTAGACAAGTCTTTCTTCTAGTTTCTAATAATAGGAGATTTTTGCCATTGCTGCCTTTTAGAGCATCTTCAAGTCTATGATTAAATTCTATAGAGCTCTTGCTGGACTTGCTTCATCATCTCTTTCATAATATCTAATTGCATTGTACTACACTTCTGTTTTCTTCAGATTTTTTGACATATAAATATATTTCAAGAAACCATGAGAACATGCATAGTTTTTTTATATATTATTTTACGTTCATTTATTTAATTTATTAATGATAATCTACTCATTCTTTTCTTAATTTTATTGTCAGATTTTTTGTCACACTTCTCGTATATATTCCCATTAGTATTAATGTTCACATTAGTGTTATCAGTTATACTGCTAGGGCTATGCAATATCATATACAATAATTAAGTAAAACATGCAAATTTCTTGGATAAGGCAGGAACTTAGTCGATGAAACTTAATGCAACCTAAGTGACCATTGGATCGTTTTATATATGCAAAATAAACAAAAATTGGTTGCTGATAACATTTGTTACTAAAAGTTCTCAGTATATATTTTCGTTATCTTTTAACTTGGATTAGAATTTTTCCTTTCTAAGCTTCTAATCCATCATATTTATGTTTATTCCAACATGAAATTCATGTATTGGTAACAGCTATTCTCTAGTCCTGCGTCATACTACAGAAGAAGTATTTGCTGCTTGTTTAGAGGCCATTGAACCAAACAGGGCTATGTTAACATCCCAGCTGAGTAAGCATGTTATGGCTGAACTTTTGGAAGGCCTATCAAAACAAGATTGGTTTACAGGGTTTGATATAATTGAAGAGACCCCACTGAAACTTACGCTGGAGCAATGGATCATGCATGCTAAGGAAGCTCAAGCGACAATATTTATTGCATGTCTGTTTCTTGAGGCTATACCAGTGATTTTTTTCATCATACTAATTTGCAATTTTTTTTCCTTTTTATTCCTTTCAAATGCAAAAAGTATGAATACATAACAAAGTGGCTATTGGAATGTTGACATGTAGATATTAAGTCATATTTAAAAAGTGGTATGTGGAGAAACGCTAAGTTACTCACACACCAGGCAAACATAAAGTTACCCTAACCCAAAATTGAAAAAAAAACCTTTTACATTCTCTTTTGCTACTTTCCATGTTTTTTCCTTGATAAGGTTTCCTGTAGAAACTTGCACTACATTAATAATACTAAATTATGTTTCACTTGCTTCGAAGATTGAAGTATCGTGTTGCATCTAAGTCTAGGAAGTTGGTGAAAATCTGCCTTTTGGAGGGAGCACCTGTTATTGAATGATTTGTATGTCAACTATTTTGGGAAAATAATGAAGTATACAAATAATTATCGTGCATTGTAATTGGAAGGGTGCATTCTAAAAATAAAAATTTCAAATTGCAAATGCTAGTGATTCAAGCAATCTCTCCTTGATGGTAGCTATGTTTATAGTGAATCTTAATTGGAAGGGAGCCTTATTTTCAAAATGCCCCTAAATCTCAATCTCAATGTTGTTGACCATTGGACCCACCTCACGCGGTCTCAGAGGATGCAACTTTTTTCTCAAACAACGCAACTTTTTGTTTAAGTCTTTGTGCGCATCTAGCCACTGAATGTGAATTTGACCTGATGGCTGCTCGTTGTTGCTCTTGATCCCTTTTTCTGTCTCTGCATTTTCATGCTTGCTTGTGCCATCTCTCACCCTTTGTTTTCTTGCTTGGCTTCCAGTTCGTTTCCCCTTCCATTAGATGAACTAGCTAATAGCCAGTTCCAATGAAGTGATATTTACCAGTTCATAATATTTATTATTATTAGTATTATTATTTTAAATTTAAATTGATTTTTATATGGATAATAAGTTGGAAGAAAGCTTAGAATTTAAGAGTACCAACTTTAGAGCGAGAGAGCTAGTAACATTGATATTTTTGATAATCATGAAGATTTTGATTACATGGTCCCTTAAACGCAGATGATTTGATGTAGGCAAAGGGGGGTGGGGGTCAAAACAAGTTGAGTTGAAATTTTTGTAAGTTCTACTAGAGTCAGCTCATTAATGAGCTTCTACTTCTTCTTAATCAGCTCATTATTGTGTATTTATTGCCAAATTAGATTCATTCTCCCCTCATTTACTGCCCTCTCTAAAGGCTCTTTGGTTTCCCCACTCAACTCCCCTTCCCCTTCCCTTGGTCTCTTCGGTTTTCCCTCCTGGTTCGACTCCTTTGGCAGCTGATTCCGGTCCCTGTACAGCCCCTTCGATTCTCCCCTGGTGCTGTTTTCCGTGAGCTGTTCCTTCTCCCTTTGCTGTGTATTGGCCTCGATTCCTGTGCTTCCTTTGTTAACCTCCATATAATATCCAAAAGGGAATGAAACGAATGCGTACCTGTTGTAACCGTTGGATCCACGAAACATGCCAAACTTCTCCAAGAATTCCGCTCAAATCCCGCTGATTCCCTGCCAATTCGGTGCCGTTTGCGATCAGATCCCGTAAATCGCGTGAAACTACCTCGATCGCGCCTCTCTCGGAGTCGTTAAATACCGACCCAAATGAGAGTTTTGGCCCTCACTTGATCCCGAGCTCCTCCCTCCCTCATTCGCGACGCCTCTTCCACCTCCGACCTCTCGGCCGACCCGCACAAGCACACAGAGAGAGAGAGAGATAGATAGAGAGAGAGAGAGAGAGAGAGAGAGAGAGAGAGAGAGAGAGAGGAGAGAGCTACCTGAGCCCTTTCCTCCTTGCCGTCCAACTTCGCCCTTCGTTGACGTCCCCTCCTGCCGGACCGAAGGCTCCGACATTTTGATCGGAAGAGACAGCAGGATCCTCCTCCCTTCCATGCGGCTTCTCCGACCCCTTGGCTGTTTCAACCTTGCTCCTTCTACGACTTTCCCTTGCGGTCGGATCGGAGTAACGACATCCCGATCGGAAGCAGGCTAATTTCTTAATTAATTATAATTAATTGATATTAATTATAATTAATAAAAGAAGAATGCTCGTGCCTTCTCCCGCCTCGATCCACGACCCTCCACCGCCGGCCCCGAAGGTATAATCCCTAAACTCAGACTTCCGTCCTCGGCATGTACGACGGGCCTGTAGACCACCTAAGCACGCCTTTGTTGAGCGTGGTAGGAGGGAATCCAGTCTGACGCCTACGACGAGGCGGACAGTCGCCTCCTCTCTCGCTCTCTTACTTCGACATGCGTGTCGACCCGGCGGACCACCTAAGCACGCCTTTAGTGAGCGTGGTAGGACGGAACCCGGTGCGACTCCTACGATGAGGTAAGTAAACGACCCTCGCCCTCCTGTCTCGACATGCGTGTCGGACCGGCAAACCACCTAAGAAAGCTTTTGGTGAGCGTGGTAGGAGGGAACCCGGTTCGACGCAAACGATGAGGCTAGGTAAGCCTGGTGTACTCTCTTCTTTGCGTGGCCCGAACAATTCATAAGTACCCTCGGGCGGGGGGAAAACAAACTGCCCTTTTCTTGTAACAGGTACGGTCAAAGACCCCATGCACGCCTTTATTGCGCGTGGTGGGAAGAAAAATCATGGCCGAGGTGTCATCGAAAGAGGGCACCTACCATGCACGCCTTTAGTGCGCTTGGTGGGAAGGCCCAGTTTTCTCGTAGTTTTCCCCTAAACGGGGGAGACGTCGGGAGGCTGCCGAAATTTCGGGTGAAATATTACTACACTTGGACCTGTTTTGAACTCAAACGAACAAAAGATTTGGAGCAAATGAGAAAGAGCATTGGACTTTTGAACTTCATTGAAAAACGTGCAGAGAACCTGAACAAAATTCAAATGACTAATAAAGACCAAATTCAAATGAAACAAAATCAAAGTTGGAGCCAAATTCAAGTCATTTTGAACATGAAAATGAACCTGCAAAGATCCCAGAAGACTTTGAGTAATCATTTGAATATACACTCGGGCTCAAACTCAAACTTACTAAGTGTGGAGGACACTAAAATTGAACAAGACCTCGACATGTATAAACAAAGAACGTAGTGGACTTTTACAACAGTCCCTATGAGATCGGGAAGCATCGTACCTGCGGGAATAATGAATGGCCGTAGAATATACGGGTGTTCCTCCTACATATACTGTTGAAATCTCCTACGATAATTTCTACAAATGCCTGTTGATTGAGCTGGCGATACGGGAGACCAATGATGGAAGTTCCGCCTTCCTACAAACAAATGCAACCCAACAAACCCACCCGAGATTGGTGAAAGGGTGGATAAGGTGCGGAAACAATGGGTCTTCTACAAATACCTTCAGGAGATCGTAGTTAATACAACGGATCCTTACAAACAAATACGAGCCGCTTGTGGATAACAATAGTGGGCATATCGTAAGCATCATCGAACCACTGTGGGCACAAGTACAAGTATCTTCTACTACGATCCCTACGAGGTCAAATAAGTACAATCAAACCACCCGAGATTGGTGAAAGGGTGGATATGATGCAGAAAAAAATGAATCTCCTGCAAACATTTTTTAGTAGCTCGTAGTGGATACAGTGGTCCCCTACAAATGCATACGAATACTTGTGGATAACAACAGTGTGTTGCAAGTAGAATGAATCACTGTGGGCACAAGTACGGATCCCTTACAAATGCAAATGAAGACTTGTGGATAACAACAGTGCATTGTACAACGAACCACTGTCGGCACAAGTATTGATATCACCTACGATATTGATGGTCAAGATCTTCAAATATTTCGAGTACAAGGGCGACTCGATGTACAAAAAGTAAACTTCCTGGCAGAATGGGAGGAAAGTTCAAACAAATTAGAACCAAACTTCCTGCTGTTCCAAAATCTCTTCTTAGTTCTATAATTTAGAAGAAAACAGTTCTGGTGCCTACAAACACCGGAAATAACAAATCCATTACATTGATGGTCTTAAAAAGAGTTCTCTACAAAGCAACAAACTCCAAATTCCAGAAAATAACCTTCTCCTGGTGAATGAGAAAGGGGGAATCAACATCAAGACGCACGCCACCGGATCTGCAACACATATACAAGCAGACAGAAGGAGTCTACAATGTACAACGCCACGCCACCGGATCTGCAACACATATACAAGCAGACAGAAGGCGTCTACAATCTACAACGCCACGCCACCGGATCTACAACTTCTATGCAAGTGGACAGAAGGCGTCTATAAATTATTTCTAAATACCCCCTGCACGTGCACTATAAATTGTATACACATAGTTACACTAAAGGGGAAAATATATTCTCAATCTGCAAGGGCCTCGGCGAGCATGTTATTGGTATACACGTGACGTCTAGGGATGCTGCGCGGGTTATTAAATTTTAAACCCGATTCTCTTTAGCAGGTAAAAGGGAGTCGAAAGGGTTTAATTATAAAATGCCCCCAAACCCGCATGGGCCCCGGCGAGCATGTTATTGGTACACACGTGACGTCTAGGGATGCTGTGCGGGTCAACAAGTGAATTCAAATTCGAACCCGATCCTTCTATACGGATCAATAGGAGTCGATAGGGTTCGAACCATTAAGCAAATATGTGGCCGTGGCGACTAGAATATTTGTTTTAATATATTCATGTTAGACCTTCAAAGCCTAAAATCAAAAGAATTCACTCTCAAAGACATAAAGCCTACGAAATCCGATTCTCTGTCGACAGCTCGACTGAGTTGACAAGGTTCAAGCTACAAATAGAAATGACCCCAAACACCCCGATGATGGCCGTGTTGATTTCTTATCTCAACCGGATGGGTTCACAAATATTTTTCAAATGTCATTTCAAATACTCAAAATTCCACCCAAATATCCATTCAAAACCCAAAACTCCACAAAATCCAAAAAATCCACAAATCCAAAAAATCCCAAAAATATTTAAAATTGAAATAAATCCAAAA